TGACTGAAGCCTCGAGCAACGTACCGTTCCTTGAAGACAGGCGGAGAACCCGGCGACCGCTTCACCCTGAAGATCCACATGCCACTGACGATGTTCGCCCCAGGTGGGGGAACCTCGTCGACGTAGGTGCCTGTGGACTTCCAGGAAGCCCTCTCTGCGTCCATGGCTGTCTGCCACTGAGAGGAGTACTCACCCGAGATCGCCTCTCTATAAGAGCGCGGGGTGGGGATGTCAAGTGCATCCGGGTCTCCCTCAGGGGCAAGTAGCATGGTCACAAGATGAGGTGCAGCGGCGGCAAGACACTCCAGCTCCTCCTGTCTGTCCTCAAGAACGTCACAGCCAAGGGCAACCTCACCCCCGACGGACAGAGGACAGACAGGGTCAGGGTCAGTAAGAAGACTCGCAAGGTAGTCTAGGCGGCATGCAGCAGCAAAGTCAACCAGCTCAGCGACTAGGGCAGACGCAGCAGGAGACGAGAACGTAGGGTCCATCACAACTGTAGCAAGCAAGCGAGTGACAGTCGGACTGGACGCACGAGCAAGGTCAGACAGAGGGTCAGCAACGCCAGGAAGAGAAGACGTAAGAGGTGACGGTAGGACAACACGCTGTGGAACAGATGAAGGACGGAGTGTCATATCGTGAGTGCCTGGGACAGCCGGAGCACGAGGACGACGCACACGACGAACACGAGCAGGAAGGGACGCTCTAGTCTCGGGCTCTCGACGCTCAGGAGTGGAAGCACGAGTCTCGGGCTCTCGACGCTCAGTCGGGGACTCTGTCACAGCAGTGTATGGAGCAGGAGCAGGCACTGGAAAGTGAGGCAGTAGCTGTAGGAACAGTAACGGAGAAGTAGTACCAGCGACTGGGAACTCCGTCGGAGCTGGCGAAAGACCGAGAAGGTGGCGAAGTGCACCAGCAGGTGCAGCACCTCCAGCACCAGCAGCTCCAGCACCTCCAACACCAGCACCTCCAACCTCCCTACCTCTAGCACCAGCACCTCCAATACCTCCAGCATCAGCAGCTCCAATACCTCCAGCACCAGCAGCTCCAGCACCTCCAGCACCAGCAGCACCTCCAGCACCAGTAGCTCCAGCACCTCCAGCACCTGTAGTACCTCCATCTCTAGCAGCTCCAGTGCCTCCAGCACCAGCAGCTCCAGCACCTCCAGTACCTCTAGCACCAGCACCACGTCCAGCACCAGCAGCTCCAGCACCTCCAGCACCAGCAGCTCCAGCACCTCCAGCACCAGCACCTCCGACACCTCCAGCACCAGCAGCTCCAGAAGCTCCAGCACCAGCAGCTCCAGCACCTCCAGCACCAGCAGCACCTCCAACACCAGTAGCTCCAGCACCTCCAGCTCCTGTAGTACGTCGAACTCTACCAGCTCCAGTGCCTCCAGCACCAGCAGCTACAGCACCTCCAGCACCTCTAGCACCAGCAGCAGCTCCAGTACCTCCAGCACGAGCAGCTCCAGTACCTCCAGCACCAGTAGCACCTCCAGCACCTCCAGCAGTACCTCCAGCACCTCCAGCACCAGCATTACCTCCAAGACTAGTAGCTCCAGCACCACCAGGACCGTACCCTCCACCACCAGGACTGCCTCGCCGAACGATCCACGCACGAACCGACTGCGGTGATAGCGTCTCAAGTAGATCAGGTTGCGGTGGCTCCAGCTCCAGGACCTCCAACAGGGTCACCCACAGCTCCACCGCCACTAGGACTTGCAGCACCCCCAATCGCAGCACCCCCAGAACCACCACCCCCAGTCGCAGCACCCCTAGAACCCTCACCCTCTGTCTCAGCACCCCCAGGCTCAGCACCAGTAGTCTCAGCTCCAGAGTCCACAGCAGCAGGCTGCGGAGGCGGCGAAGACGGCCGAGGCGGAAAACCAGGGGGGTCTCCAAGCGTGAAGAGCGGCGAGTGGTCGCCGTGTCGTCAGCGGCAGGGTCACCCCCCTCAGCTGGGCCAGAGGAGTCAGAAGAGATCTCCAGAGGCTCAACCAAGGGGGGTGGGTCTACCTGAGACACACCTGAGGGAGCAGGACCCTGTGGTGGGAGGGGGTCTACCGTGGGGGGGGCTGGTACCAGGAAAAGCGGCGCGAGGGGAATCGGGTGGGAAGCGTGCGGGTGTAGCCTGTAGAAACAGACAGACTCGTCAAAGGTGACGTCCTGGAAGGAGAAGACTCGATGCGAACGCGGGTAGTAGAACTGCCACGGCGGGGCATCGGTGGGGAAGCCAAGGAAAACGCAGCGGAGTGTGCGAGAGGAGAGCTTGCTCGCTTTGGCATCGCGAACAAGAGAGAGAGCGCCCCATACCCGAAACGTCGACGCATCACCAACCTTCCCCGTCCACCAGAGCGTGGGCGAGGTCTCCGGCTCAGATACACGGGGCCAGAGGTTGAGCTGATGCGCAGCTTGTCGGACCGCAAACGACCACAGAAAATGGGGAGCAGTCGCATGGATCATGGAGGTACGAGCAACCTCCATGATCAAGCCAATGTGACGCTCAGCAATCCCATTCTGCTGAGGAGAGGCCGGAAGCGTGAATGTCTGGCGGATGCCCTCGTCTCGCCAGAACTCCTCAAGGAGGCCAGAAGAGAACTCACCGCCCCTGTCAGAGTGCAGAGACAGGACTGGCAAGTCCCGACGAAACCGCTCGCACAGCTGGCGATGAGTAGCAAGGATCCAGGGGATCAAAACACCGCTGACGTCTGCCTTGCGCCGCAAGGGGAAGACAGTGGTGTAACGTGTGTAGTCGTCAACAATCAGCAGGAAGTAGCACTCCTGGTCCATTCCACCGACGGGGGCCGGGCCCCAAACGTCCATGCGGAGAGTCTGCAGAGGAGCAATGGTCGGAGGAAACTCGGGAGAGTGAGGAGCGGCGCGCTGCCGCCCCTCGACGCTGGGAAGGCACGGCGGGGCAGGCGAGCGCGAGAGGGAGGGCAGGGACCTGGGAAGGCCAGAGAGAAGGAGACAGGAGTGCATGCTGCAGAGACGGTGGTGCCAGAGGAGAGTCTGGTGGGAGAGTACCCGACACGAGCAAGACGTTGCAAGCTGACCCGACGCAGACACCTGACTCGACGCAGCCACCTGACCTGACTCAGCCACCTGTGCAGACGCAGTGGTCAGTGAGTACAGACTAGACCCAGGCCGTCGAGTGAACGTAGCAAGGTGACGGCCAGTCCGGGAGCATGTACAGATCGCCACACGCTGCCCTCCAGGAATGAAGGTATCAACCCAGACATCCTGAATGGCAGCGTTGCTCACCAAGTGCGTCGAGAACATGGGGAAGTGGAGACCTGACAGAGAACCGGAGGGGACTGCTGAACACGGGAGGACAGTGGTGGCTCGTGCGACTACTGGGCCCCCAGAAGGGTCAGCCAGTGAGACTGGTACCGGTGCAGCAAGTGGTGTGAATGTGGTGCAGTCATGAAAGAAGCAACGTGACGCGTCTGAGTCAAGTCTGAAGGTGTGCAAGGCCTCAGCTGAGGCACGATCTGTGGCGGGAGACGCACGAGCGCCTATTGTTGCAGCAGACTCCTGGAGCGGCAGCAGACTCACTAGCACCTAGTGCGGCAGCAGACTCACTAGCACCTAGTGCAGCAGCCTCGACAGAACCAGTGACACATCGCTGAGGAACCAAATGACTAAGCACCTGCGGGGAGAAGGTCTCCTGCTGACTCAGCTGCCGCCTCCGTGCAGTACGCAGAAAGCCAAAGCCTCCACCATCTGGACGGCCTCGCTGAAGAACCCACTCGCGAAGCTGCAGAGGGGTGGGGTCGTCCAGGAGAGGCAGTTACCGCCGCTGTCCACCCCTAGCCGCTGCAACTGCCATGAGAGTGGCCATGACAGGCAGTGACAATCAGTAGTAGGTCCAGCACCTCCTGTACTCCCAGTCGCACCTCCACCAGCAGCGGCAGCAGCACGAGCAGCGGCAGCAGCAGTAGCAGCAGGAGGGCGGCTCGGCCTGGGCAGCGCTGCTCGGCAATGCACAGCGCAGCAGTAGCAGCGTGTGCAGCAGCAGCGCGCTGGGCAGCAGGGCGCGCTGGAGGTTCTTTATATATATATATATATTATTTCTATAATTTAGGGTTGCGGGGCACGCTGGCGCGCTGGCGCGCTTCGCAGTGGGGCACGCTGGCGCTGGGCTGCGGGGCGCGCTGGCGCGCTTAGCAGCGGGGTGCGCTGGGGCGCTGGGCTGCGGGGCGCGCTGGCGCGCTTAGCAGCGGGGTGCGCTGGGGCGCTGGGCTGCGGGGCGCGCTGGCGCGCTTAGCAGTGGGGAGCGCTGGCGCGCTTAGCAGCGGGGCGCGCTGGTGTGCTGGGCTGTGGGGCGCACTGGCGCGCTAGGCTGCGGGGCACGCTGGGCTGCAGGGCTGCTCGCGGGCAGAAGGGGCGCGCAGGGCAGGGGCTGCTCGTGGGCAACAGGGGCGCTCAGGTGAGGGGCTGCTCGCGGGCAGCAGTGGCGCGCGGGGCTGCTCGCGGGCAGAAGGGGCGCGCAAGGCAGTGGCTGCTCGCAGACAGCAGGGGCGCTCGGGTCAGGGGCTGCTCGCGGGCAGCAGTGGCGCGCGGGGCAGGGGCTGCTCGCGGGCAGCAGGGGCGCTCGGGTGAGGGGCTGCTCGCGGGCAGCAGTGGCGTGCGGGGCAAGGGCTGCTCGCAGGCAGCAGGGGTGCGCGTGACAGCAGGGCAGCGCGCTAAGGCAGGGGCAGTGGGAGTAGCTGCAGGGCAGCGTGACACTGTGCGAGAGGGCCGGACAGCGCAAGGGCGCTTCGGGCAGGAACTAGCGGAACGATTGGTGGGCCCTAAAGACCTAACAGGTTTCCTGCTCTGAATACAATGTCAGAATCAACTGTGCAGGAATGAATGAGCTATGAATGAGTTGGGTACAAGTATTAACCCTGAAGTGTTGTACCCCTTGTAAGCTAACCCACCATAGCCTAGAGACAATACAAACATATACGGTAGTTTGACATTCTGTGCAAAAAATGTGTCAATCAGAATTCTCTATGCAAATTTAGCCTTGTGCTTTCTGTGCTGCTGCTGCTGGAGCGCCAGTCGAAGCACCTCCTGTGCCATGACGTCAGCAGCATCAGCACTGGCAGCAGCCCCTGCACACTCTTCCATCTTCTCCCTCCTTGCTCCATCCGCTGCCCATGGGGGGAAGAAAAGGGGGTGGGGAGGGGAAAGGGGGGGGAATATGTCAGTTTCCAAGCAGAAGCTATAAATATGCACTTCGTACGAGTGGCAAATGGCTATTCATTACAATGCTTTAACCTGATGATCATGAAGAAGTGTACAAAAAAGATGGAGGGAAATTGTGGAGGGCAAGGGCAAGGGCAGGGGATACAGGGATAACCAAGCAGCACAGAAAAACAGAGTCCTATGACGGGTCAAAACTCAAGACCTCTAGCAACTTCCGTGGCGACTATCATGGGGTTTTACCAAGCAGCGAGGTGACAGCAGAGAGGAGAGTGTCTGGGGAGAGCTGGTCCTGAGGCAGCATCACAGCCGCCCCTGCTTGCACCATGGCTCGTGCATTCACGGTTTGATGGTCCTCTGCCACGTGTGGTGATGGGATCTGTGCATAGAATAAGGTGTGATGTGACAGAGTGACGAGGGGCACGGAAAGATTCTGCCTTCATTTACACGCACTCACACGCGCGCGTGCATGAGTGCGACTGTGAGCACCAATTTGCACGGCGCGGCAATTTCCGTGGCGCCTCAAAAAGTTGTGTGAGTGCGAGTGTGAGTACCAGAATGCAGGGCGTGGGAGTGGTGAGCAGCTCAGAGCACGTGACGGCACCGGCCCGTGCCACCACGACATCTGCTGGTGCATATGCCAAGTCCATCCGCTCCACAAACCTACCATGGGCCATGGAGGTGGTGGGGGGACGGAGGGGTGTGGGGAAAAGGAGACGAGGCATGTGCCACGACCACATCGACTGCTGTATATGCCAGACCCATGCGCTCCACAAACCTACCATGGGCCATGGAGGTGGTGGGGGGACGGAGGGGTGTGGGGAAAAGGAGACGAGGCATGTGCCACGACCACATCGACTGCTGCATATGCCAGACCCATGCGCTCCACAAACCTGCCTCCATGCCCCATGGGGTATCGTGTTATAGAAACGGCATGGGTGGGGATGGTGAGGGGAAGGAGGGGTGAGATGGGATGGAGTGAAAGCAGACAGGGCTCGCGCCACCCACATGTCCATGCGATCCACCAACCTGCCTCCGTGCACCATGGGGTATCGTGCACCATGGGGTATCGTGCACCATGGGGTATCGTGCACCATGGGGTATCGTGCACAATGGGGTATCGTGCACCATGGGGTATCGTGCACCATGGGGTATCGTGCACCATGGGGTATCGTGCACCATGGGGTATCGTGCACCATGGGGTATCGCGCACCATGGGGTATCGTGCACCATGGGGTATCGTGCACCATGGGGTATCGTGCACCATGGGGTATCGTGCACCATGGGGTATCGTGCACCATGGCACAAACCTGCCACGGCCCACCATGGGGTATGGTGTTGAAGAGGGGTCATGGGGATGGTGGGGGAAAGGAGGGGGCGCATGGAAAAATGGGGGGTGAGGAACGAAGGGGAATGACAGAGGGAGAAGAGTTGGGAACGGAGGGGATGAGGGGCATTCGGAAGCAGATGCAAGAGAGAGGAGAAATGTGAGAAATCTCTCGCCTAAAATGGGGCATAGTTGGAGCGAGTGAGGAACGCGGGAGAAGAGAGCGAGGGAAGCAGGAGAAGAGAGAGAGGGACGCAGGAGAAGAGAGAGAGGGAAGCAGGAGAAGAGAGAGAGGGACGCAAGAGAAGAGAGAGAGGGACAAAGGAGAAGAGAGAGATGGAAGCAGGAGAAGAGAGAGAGGGACGCAGGAGAAGAGAGAGAGGGAAGCAGGAGAAGAGAGAGAGGGACGCAGGAGAAGAGAGAGAGGGAAGCAGGAGAAGAGACCTGACGGCAGGAGGGAGACGCGGGGATGTGCGGCGATGGGAAGAGCTCTCATCTCCTCCACATGACGTGCTCCTGCTTGCCATATCACCACCACCTCCCCCCGCCCGCCCCTCTCTCCCCCCTCCCCACCACTCTGCACACCGTCCAGCCTCTCATCACCGCACTCCACACTGCCGAACCCATCTAGCAGCCGCTGCAGCGCGCCTGCGATGGCTGTGTTGATGGGTTGTGCTCCCAGCGAGCCCCCTAGCACTAGCACCACTTGTGCTCTCTACCCCGCTCCTCCTGCTGCTCCTCCTTCTGTTGCCCCAGCAGCGTCAGCTGCGACACGTGGGAAGAAGTAATTAATCGCTTCTTCCCGCTTCTCTGCCCGCATTTCCCTCATAGATCGCAGCACCGCGCGCGTGGGGTTCCCTGCCACGTGGCAGCGCCTGGTTGGAAAGAACCTCTGGGCGACGGCGAAGGCAACGAAAACGACGCTCGCGAAGCGGCCAAGCAGGTGGTTGACGATCCCCACGAAAGCGTTCTGCTCTTGTAACACGAGAGGTATGCGAGAGATCGCGGCTGCTAGACAAGTCGGCGCGGACACGTACCCTCCTGTGCCTACTACCACATCGGGCTTTAATCGCCAGATCAAGAGCAGGTAGAGGCAGAATGCGCGGAGGAAACGGAACGGTACGAGGAGGTTGGAGAGGGTAGTGAGGAGCGGCCGATGGATACTGACGGCTGGGATTGGATGGATCCGGTAGCCTGCGCGCGGGACAGCCGTCCATTCCATTCGCTCCCTGGTTCCGACAAAGTTGATCTCGGCTGTTGGATCGCGGGATCTGACGGCGTCTGCGATGGCAATGGCAGGGTACACGTGGCCGCCCGTGCCGCCGGCGGCAAAGAGGATAGAGATCTGACGGAGTGAGTCTGACGTGCCGGGTGGTGCTACAAGCAAGGGCGATCCTCCCGCAAAGCATGTGACTGTAATGGAAAAACGCTCCCTGCTGCCACTGCTGGTATTGTCAAACCGCCAAAACTCCTTAGAACTAGTGCGCGCATCTTCCCCGCTAAAAGCACCTCTTTCACCCCGTTTGAAGCCCCTGCTTTTGAGCTAGTTATTACCAACAGCAGCACCAGGGCTGACGTTTCATTTTAAGCCTCCCTGATTCCGGGGAAAATTTCCCCCCTGTATTATGGGTTCATATTTTCCACAGGTAGGCTACTCTGATTGCTCAGTGTTGAAAAGTAGTTAACTCTGATTGCTCAAGGTCGAGAACTGAACATCAATGTAGTAACGCGCACTGTGTTTAACGGGGGAAAAAGTTTCACCCCGCATGATTCCAACACAACGCGACATCATTTCGTGCACACCTCGTGCGGGTTACTTTCTGACCCTTTACTTTTGTGAAATTAGTATATATCCACATGTTTTAACGCGGGGAAGAAACGAGCAATTTCGGTCCACCAAACAGTTCGATACCATAGATGTGCCAAGATTTTCTATTCGCTGATTACCCGCGGTTCACCAACTTCATTGTGCGAAACGCAAAAAATGTGTTGGTAACTTCACGCACACGTAATAGCGACAATACAACTGACATCTTCAATTTCTGTGAAACTAACATATGTAGAGTGTATTCACCTGTCCGACATGTTGCCGCGCACTGCTCACGCTCCGGCTGTACTACGACCAATCCGAAGGCGGGGCTATCGAAAAAAACTTTCCGAGAAACTTCCTTCCGAAAGGTCAAATTCAAAGTCCTCAGAACGCGTACTCTATATTGACTGTCAAAATTATAAGAAAGAAAGAGGATTGAACTAGCAAGAATGAGGATACAAATAGCAAACCCTAGAAGGGTTGTACTCGCTATAGAGCACCCCACTACAGGCTAGAACAATAAGATAATATTCTGACACACCCCCATAGCCAAAGTGGGGTGTAATCAGCAGAGCAGGCAAAGCAAAACAAGCTCAGGGTGGATCACAATGTCACCACACATTATGAGCACAAGTTCAAGAAGAAATAGTTTAGAGTTTACAATTATAAGCAAAGCTAGTGGTAGTCACAACGGGCAAGTGAGGAGGAGGAGGGAGAGTGAGGGGAGAGGAGACAGGAGGCGACGGCTGAAGCTGCAGACACACGGGCAACAGGAGGCAGACTGGCACAGCGGCTACCGGACAGCGCCCGGACTACAGGAGTAACAGGCCCCGCGGCTCAAATAGCGGCGGACGGGCAACGGACCCACGGGCGGCTGGCACAGCTGGCTACGACTAGGCTACCGGGACAGCGCCCCGGACTACAGGTGCTGCTGACGACAAACTGGCAACCTCCGCTCATCCTCCCGCACACAGTCCCACCCCCCTGATACACACCCACTGCTACCCCGAAGGAGCCGCGACAGGCGACGGGAAATGGGAGGGAGGGGGGGGGGGGGGGGGGGGGGGTGTGGAGGAAAGGGCCCACCACGGACCTGATCGGAGGGCGGAGCCGCGACAAGGGGCGGGGCCGCAACGAGTGGCGGGGCCGCGACGGTCAGGGCGGGGCCGCGACAGGTAGGGCGGGGCCGCTTCGAGGGGCGGGGCCGCGACACAAGGCGGGGCCGCGACGTAGGGCGGGGCCGCGACGAGGGGCGGGGCCGCGACGAGGGGCGGGACCGCGACAGTCGGGCAGGGCCGCGACGTAGGGCGGGGCCGCGACGGTCGGGCAGGGCCGCTTCGAGGGGCGGGGCCGCGACACAGGGCGGGGCCGCGACGAGGGGCAGGGCCGCGACGTAGGGTGGGGCCGCGACGGTCGGGCAGGGCCGCGACGTAGGGCGGGGCCGCGGCGTAGAGCAGACGCCCGCCGCGCGCCCCGGGGCGCACAGCGGGCAAAGAACCGCCGCGCGCCCCGGGGCGCACGGCGGGCAGAAAACCGCCGCGCGCCTCGGGGCGCACGGCGGGAAGGAAAACCGCCGCGCGCCTCGGGGCGCACGGCGGGAAGGAAAGGTAGCAGCGGAAGCGAGGTGGAAACCCACCCACAGGATCGATCCAAGGGGATCGACCTGCTCTGATACCATGTCAAAGTTACAGAAAGAAAGAGGATTGAACTAGCAAGAATGAGGATACAAATAGCAAACCCTAGAAGGGTTGTACTCGCTATAGAACACCCCACTACAGGCTAGAACAATAAGATAATATTCTGACATTGACATAGTCAGTAAGAACACTACTTTGAGCCTAGATAGAATATTTCAGGGTTCGCTAAAGCACTATTCTGAATGGATCAGTGTTCACAAGTCAGAAATTCTGAGACTGCAAGGACCACCAGGTGAGAAGCCTGTAATCACCTTGAAATCAGGGTAATTACTGTCAAATGTTGTAGCCTGTAGTGAGGTTTGTCTTAGGGGGTACAGATGTTAGGGTTTGTTATATGTGTTGGGCTGAGAAGCCCTAGGATCTTTGTAGAGTTTAAGGACTGAGTAGGATTGTAATAGCGGAAGCGTTGTAATACAGATCTTGAACCACCTTGCGCTGGTATGTGAGGGCAAAGTAAGTTAGATTAAACAAGCAAATACAAGGTTTATATAAGAGTACAAGGAATACGAATAGATAGATTTAAACCGTTTTACTGTTGCGATTCGATACAGTGCGACTCGGGCAACTGCTCAATGTCGAGTCAGTTGTGTGTCCTTGCTGTCGCGCTGTATTGGTCAAGTCAAAGGTCGCTGACCTTTGACCTTCGCGTAACCTCCAGGCGGTTACCCCAACCTCCGAGGGTTGACTCGCGATGCTTCGATTTGGACTGCTTCGCTAGTGTCCTGAGTTTCGACACGACAGAGGCGCCTTAAGACTTATTGTTCCCAACACTCCCCTTCGCTTCTGGAGTGTCGCTGATGGTGACGTGGCCTTGTCCAGTCAGCAGCATGCAGTACTCGAACTTCTGTTTTCCGAGCTTCTTGGTCAAATAGTCGGCTGCCATCTCGGACGTGGGACAGTAGGATAACTCGAGTCTTCCTTTCTCGATCTCGTCTTTCACGAAGAAGTATCGCAGAGCGATATGCTTCGTTCTGTTCGCGAATCCGTTTTTGTTGGCGATGCGAATTGCAGATTGGTTGTCGCAGTGCAGGGTGAAGCTGGGTAACTCAGCTAACTTTGCTTCTTCCAGCAGTTCGCGAAGGTAGAGTCCTTCCTTGGTGGCTGAGCAGAGGGCGATATATTCTGCTTCAGCTGAAGAGAGAGCGATTAGTTCCTGCTTACTCGACTGCCAGGAGATAGGTCCGATAGGCTCGAGACGATAGACGTAGCTGGTGCGAGAGCGCCTGTTATCTGGATCGCTGGCATGGTCAGCATCAACGTAGCCGATTAGTTTCGTCGTCGTAGCTTCGCCCTTGTAGTAAGTTAGGCCGATCGTCGGTGTGCTCACGAAGTAGTGCAGTGCGCGATCGAGCTCCGCCATGTGCTCAGCTTCGGGTTTCTTGAGATAGGTGGCGAGTTGACTCGCGAAGTAGGATAGATCCGGGCGACAGGTTACGGCTGCGAAGAGGAGGCAGCCTAGTTTCCTCTGGTAGTCTCGTATTCCGGCGGTTTTTAGTAGGGTGGAGTTTCCTTGGCCGTTTCCTGCCGTGTAGCGGTATGGCGTGGCGATAGCGGTAGGGGTGAGCGAGAAGCGCTTGGCGATCGTGTCGGCGTATTTCTCGGCGCTTAGATAGATTGCGTTTTCTTCTTCGCGGATGTTGAGTCCAAGGTACTGCGTGACGGTAGAAGAAACCGTGAGCGTGAGATCTTTCTGCAGCTCCCCTTCGAACCAGGTGGTGACGTCGTCGGTGGAGCCGATGTAGAGGAGATCGTCGACGTAGACGATGAGTAGGATGTAGTTGGCGCCTTTAGTGAGTCGGTACATGCCCTGGTCATGGGGCAGTTGGCGGAATCCGATGCGGATGAGGCGGGTGTGCAGGTGCTGTTGCCACAGCCGTGGGGCCTGCTTGATTCCGTAGAGGGACTTTAGCAGTTGGCAGACTTGATTGGGTTCCCCGTGGGTACCGTGAGGGAGCTCGACGAAGATGTCGGCGTCGACAGGTGCGTAGAGGAAGGCATTGGCGACATCAATTTGTCGCAGCTTCTTCTTCTTCATGGCGGCGACGGCGAGAAGAATTCGGAGTGAGGTATGTCGACTAACTGGGGCGAATGTCTCGGTGAAGTCTCGCCCTTGCTCCTGGTCGAATCCTCGCACGACCCATCGTGCCTTGAACTTCTCGATTGTACCATCTGCTTTTGTTTTGATGCGGAAGACCCACTTCCCGGTGAGAATGGTCTTGTTCCTTGCCACGCTTGCGGGAACGACCTTCCAGGTGTTGCGTTCCTCCAGTGCTTTTAATTCTCTGTCCATGGCTTCACGCCATTTCTCTTTGTGTTCCCCCCCCAGAGCTTGCCGAACCGTCGCAGGCTCTTTAGGAAGAGGAGAGCCATGGACGGCGGTGACGAGGCCGAGGATTTGCAGTCCGGTCTGTGAGTAGCGGGGGAGAGTTGTGTCCTCGGGATAGGCTGCTTCGTCTCCCGCTTCTGGATCGGGTATGAAATTTGGCCCTATCCTTTCTGCTTCGTTGGTGTTGACTGTCGCAGGTGTTACGTAACCGTTGTCGGCGAAGTGGTAGAAGACTTCGGCGTTGTTACTTTCGTGAGGATGTTCTTCGTCCATGGGCACGTCGACGGAGCAGAACGGAAGAGGTCCGGCTTCCTCCGATGCGTTGTCAACGTTCTGTTCATCCCAGTCTGCTTCGTCCGCTGCTGAGGCAAAGGATCGGTCACC